GGACTCCCACATCGCCAAATGCAGTTCGAGTCCCAGACCTGGCAACTTGCTTTCTCACTTTCTCTCTCTCTTGCTCACTCTGTCCCTCTCTGGTCAAATTAGAAAACAAGTAAATAGATAAATAAAGTTAAATAATTCTTTAAAAAAATATCTAAAGTTTAGAGTCAGCAGGTGGTGTAGTGGTCCAAGGCACGGCACTCCCACATGGCCAATCACACTTTCAAGTCCCAGATCTGGCGACTTGCTTTCTCACTTCCCATTCTTTCTTTCTCTCTAGTGAGTTCATGTGCCCTGTAACAAGTTAAAATAATAATAATAATAATAATAATTACAACAATAATAAATAAAATTAAATAGTTATTTTTAAAAATAAGTAAAATTACCTAAAGGCACACTAGAATAAAAAAAAAACTAATAACCTAGAAAAATAAGCCATTTCACAGAAACTTCGGAGTTAAAGATTTTGTTCTAAATCACACAGTACAATAAGCCAACAAATACTTTCTAATTAAATAAATTTTAAAATACATCAATGATACCTAATAGGACGATCGAAGCAATTTCACTATCATAAAGTAGCATATATATATATGCATCTGTAAGTATTAAATATTCACAAGCAAGCACCCCATAGGCAAAACGTACCATTAGCCAACTTTAACACATTTACAACCAAGGTTTTTAAGAAATTAATTAGGATCTACAGGTAGAAAAATGCATCAAGGATGAAAGAATACAGTTTAGGACTTATTTTTTTTCTCATTGCCAAGGACACGTGCACTCCCTGGAGACAGACAGAGAAAGAGAAAGGAGAAAGCAACTCCCAGTGGGACATGCTCATGCTGCAACCTCCTAATTTTTCTATGTTGTTGGGGCTTTGGGCACATGCACAAATACTCTTCTGGACTGTTTTTCAAGACACTGGTGTGGGAATTACTAGGCAATAGGGCCAGCCCAAGTTTAGGATTCCTTATTTTTGGAGAGGTTTTCACTATAGGGCGCGTGTACTCGCCAGCCAGCCAGAGAGAGAGTTAGAGAGACAGAAAGCGAGAAATCACCCCCCCAGGGAGGATGGCCATTCCGCAATCCCTTCTCCTCCATTCTCCTCTTGGGATCTTGGGCACGCACACACACGCGCCCGGCATGAGTTTTAAGCCACCGGGTCCGGGACATGAACCACGGTCAACTACGTGGGAGTCCAGCAACATAGCCATTACGCTAACTGCTGGTCCCCTAGGACTATTGAAAGTGCTTTCAACTGGAAGAAATATTTTGCAAAACTCAAATAGAGACCAAGAGATCAGAAAAGAATGATACAGTAATCTCTAAATTTTTGTTTGCTGTTACTGTCAAAGTATAAAATAATTATAGGATGATGTATATTTTGATGGGAATGGTTAATGCTGAGACTCCAACAAAACAAAGCGTATTTACAAATTATATTATTTTGGGAAAAATAATTGACTGCAAAGGCCAGCAGGTGGCGAGGTGGTTAAGGTGTTGGACTCCCATACGGTTGACTGCGGTCTGAGTCCTGAACCTGGCAGCTTGAAACTCACATGGGATATGTGTGCATGTATGTCCAAAATACAGAGAGGAGAAGGGAGCAGAAGGGATTGTGATAGGGCCATTCTCCCCCATATTCCCCAGGGGATGATTTCTCACTTTCTCTCTCTTTGTCTCTCTCTGGCAAGTGCATGCACCCTATAGCAAAAGTCTCTCCAAAAAAAAAAAAAAAAGACTGCAAGACAGAATCAGTCTGCTTATAATAGAATTTACAATGTTAATCTACTGTGTAATAATAAGTAAGCTTTTACCTTTATTTTATCTCAATTTCCCTATACATTTGTTTCAGAACACTACTGATAAACACAGGTGGAAAATAATTAATGAAAATTACACATGATTTATTCTTCTTTTGTTTATTTTATGGGGGAAGAGAGGGAAAAGGAGAAATAAATACCCTTGTCAGGGTCTCATCACCCAGTGATCCCCTTCTATTCAGTCTTCTGGTATGAGACCAGCATATTTAAGGTCAGCCTTTGATCCAAACCATGGTCTTCTATGTGACTCCAGCTGGTAGAATTGCATCCTACCTACTGCATCACCACAGCTGGGCTTGGATTTTACTTCTTTTTTAAGTTTATTAATTTTTTTTCTTTCATGACTGGGTCGAGGGGGAAGGGACTGGTTGAGATAGAGAGACAGAAGCCCTAACAGGTTTCTAACATCACAATCCACTCACAGCTTCAGCCAGACCTGGATCATAGGCACGGTGCCTGGCATAAACAGCAAGGGCTCTGGAAACGAAACATCTTGTATGGCTAGTCTCACAGAGTGTCAGTATTTTGCCACTACATAACTGTCTGTATCCCTGGATTTTATTTTAATTTTTCGGTTTTGCCAGAGGGCACATGGACTGACCAGAGAGACAGACAGACAGACAATGGGAAAAGTGAGAAAGCAACTCCCAACATGGGGAATGACCACACTACAATCCCTTCTCCATCTTAGGATTTGGGGCATGCATACACACACACTCAATGTGTCTTACAATCTGTAGGGCCTAGGACTCGAACCACATAGTCAGCCAAGTGGGATCCAGCAACCTTAACCATGCTACAGCCTGGCTGGTTTACTTTTTTTTAAGAGAGAGAGATTTTTGCTATAGGGCATGTGTGTTCACCAGAGAGACACAGAATAATTATACCCTGGAGGAAGGGCATGCCACAATCCCTTCTCCTCCATCCTCCTCTAAGGATTTTAGGAATGAACGTACATGCGCCTGGTGTGAGTTTCAAGTCACCAGGTCTGAGACTCTAACCATGGTTGACTGTGTCAGAGTCCAGTGCCATGACTACTACACCACCTGCTAGTCCCACCTTCCTCTTCCCATTAACTTTTTTTTTAAGATTGTACTGTTTATTTAACTTTATTTGTTTGTTTATTTATTTATTTTAATTTGACAAGAGAGGGACACAGTGAGAGAGGGCAAGAGGGACATGGAAAGTGAGAAAGCAAGCTGCTAAGTCTGGGACTCGAACTGTGGTCAGCCATGTAGAAGACCAGTACCCTTAAGCACCATGCCACCTGCCGGTTCTCTGATTTACTTTTTCTTTTTAATAAATTTTTAAAAAAGATTTATTTATTTATTTTAATTTGACCAGAGGGCGACAGACTGAGAATGACAGTGAGTGTATGAGTGAGAGAAAGTGAGAAAAGCAAGCCACCGGGATTCGAACCGTAGTCAGCCATGTGTGAGTCCAGCACTCTTAACCACCATGCCATTTGACAGCTCCCCCAATTTACTCTTTTTTTTTTTTTTTGAAAGGGTTTTTACTATAGGGAGCGTTCGCCCG